CAGGGACGCCCATGCTGGAAAGCCGGGCTGGGGTGCTGACCCCCACGGGAGCAAGGTCACCCACGAAGGAAACCAAAGGAGTGACCACAGAGACGGCCGCCCCACGCGCCACCCCTTCCCGGAGCCCCGTCACACAGACCACCCCCAGACTGCGGGCCGCCAACTTCAAGGCTGAGCCCAAGTGGGACTTTGAGGAACAATACAGCCTGGACGTGGGGGGCCTGCAGACGGTGAGTCTTGCCACGACCCTGCCTCTGCCTCCGGCTCCGACGCCCCTCCCGGCACTCAGCCCATCCCTCTCCCTCACCTCCCGGTCGCCTCATCCTTCCTTCCTATCCCACCGCGATGGGGGAGGAGGCAGGCCCCAGAGTCCTGGCCGGGAGGCACGGGAAGGTGTGCACAAGGAGCCCCCCGAGGCTCCGGACCAGGGGTCCTCAAACTACGGCCTGCGGGCCACATGCAAATACAAATATTGTCTTTGTTCCCGTTTTGTTTTTTTACTTCAAAATAAGATATGTGCCGTGTGCATAGGAATTTGTTCATAGTTTTTTTTTAAACTATAGTCCGGCCCTCCAACGGCCTGAGGGACAGTGAACTGGCCCCTGTTTAAAAAGTTTGAGGCCCCTGCTCCAGACAGTCAGTGCCTGGCTGTGTGCGTGCTTCGTAGCAACGACAACGCGCAGCCGCTGGTTTCAAAGTACAGGGAGCGGCTCCACAGAGGCTGTCAGTCGGGTGACCGAGTGCCACCTGCTCTGGGGTTTGACCCCCACCCCATCCTCCGGTGGGCAGGAGGCTGGGGTAGGAACTAACAGACAAGGATACCCAACTTGGCGGCGGCTGGCGCGGCTCAGTGGTTGAGCTTTGACCCATGAACCAGGAGGTCACAGTTCAATTCCTGTCAAGGGCACAGGCCCGGGTTGCGGGCTTGATCCCCAGTGGGGGGCGTGCAGGAGGCAGCTGATCAATGATTCCCTCTCATCATTGATGTTTCTCTCCCTCCGTCTCCCGTCCTCTCTGGGATCAGTTATATATACTGTATGTATATGTATCTATAAAAGAATGCCCAGCCTGGTGCCCAGTGCCTGGGAATACCTTGTCTTCTGCAGAGAGTGGTCCACCGCCTCCCCTCTCTTCCATCCCCGAGAAAACACCCCAGGAGAGCCACACTGAGAACATAGACTCATACACATAGTTGCAACCATGCCAGGGCAGCACACGGACCACCCCGTCCCAGGGTCCCATTTCTCTGCTCTGACAAAGGGGCATTGGCCTTGAGGGCCAAGGACGCCCGCCCTCGGGGAAGCCGCAGGACGCGGCAGGCAGGCCGCCTGCCAACAGGAGGGACGAGGCAGCAGAT